CTGCTTTATGGTTTTCCTCCCATATAAATATTTTTTTTCAGAGACACTTGAGAGTAAGTTGCCCCCTAAGGGACATTTCTGAAGGACAAGGACATTCTCTTACACAGCCACAGTATAGTTATCAAAAGCAAGGACTTAACACTGATGAAGTCCATGTTCCAGTTTCACCAACTGTCCCAGTATTGTCCTTTGGAGCAGTTCTCTTTTCAGTCCCTGGTACCCCGGGATTAGGTGTCGAATCTGGTTATTGTGTCTCTCGAGGCTCCTTGGACTTGAACAGTTCTTCAGTCTCTTTCATGACACACGTTTCTGGAGTCCAGGCAGCAGCATAATTTTTATTCCAGTCCCTACCACCAGACATTTAGGGTTTTCCCATTTCTCAATACTATGAACAATACTTTGAGGAATATCTTTTTGCACACCATGGGGAGCATTCACTTACTTTTCCCTGGGAAGACCTCCCAGGAGGGTGAACTTCTGGGTCGGAGGGAGGTGCGTTTTTAAGACTTTTGCTGCACAACGCCAAGATGCAGTTCCGAGAGCCTTGCCAAGTCCACGTAAGTGAGAACGTCCATTTGCTCCCACCCTTGCCGACATCAGGCATTATTCTGTTTAATCTTGATGTGCATCAGAGGTGTCTGTTTTACGGCCGTTATAGGAAGCCCCTAGTTACTATTGTGTTTTTTTTGTTTTGTTTTGTGTTTTTTTTTGCGGTACACGGGCCTCTCACTGTCGTGGCCTCTCCCGTTGCGGAGCACACGCTCCGGACGCGCAGGCTCAGCGGCCATGGCTCACGGGCCCAGCCACTCCGCGGCATGTGGGACCCTTCCGGACCGGGGCACGTACCCGTGTCCCCTGCATCGGCAGGCCGACTCCCAACCACTGCGCCACCAGGGAAACCCCTAAAGTTTGTTTTTGTCCAACATGAAAGTCTGTGCTCTGCCGTCTAGGGTTTTTGGAGCGGGATAAGAGCAACGCGTTTCATTGCTGCTGTCTGTCACTAGAGGGAGCACCTGATCCACTGCAGGCATATTTAGCAATTAATGCGGGCCCCTCCCACTGGCGTAGAGCTCTAACCTCTGTTCAGGGGCACAAAGGAAAGTGGTTCTTGCTAATTACCTACCACAGCCTTACAGTCAACTTGCTTAAAAATATTAAGGCCACTAAGGGGCAGAGAACACATCAGCAACCACAGACTGTGAACTCAGAAATAAAGATGGAGGCATTTACTCATGAAAAGATGCTCAGCCTCACTGGGAAGAAAGGAAATGCCGATGAAAGATGAGGCACATTTGACCATGACTGGCACATATTTTGAAGCCTGCTAATACTCGGGCTCATTTCTGCATCAAAACATTGACATCGGCTGCTTCCTCTGCCTGGAACAGTCTTTCTCCTCTGGATAAGCACAAACCTTGCTCCCTCGCTTCCTTTAAATATGTTTCCTTCTCGATGAAGATCTACCCTGACTCCCCGCATCTAAAATTCTCCCCCCTCCCCCCAGTGTTCCCAAACCTCCTTACCTTAACTGCTCTAATTTTTATAGTAATATTTTTTTATACTACCAGCTTTTCCTACCCACTAGCCCAGGACTTTCCCAGTGCTGGCACTCAATGAAAGTCCAGCATCTTGGGCAACCCCGTACAGTTGGCCACCCTGGGTTTAGTGCTTACTGTTTATCTGTCTCCCCACCAGAATGGAAGCCCCAGGAAGGTGGTGTCTTGCTTCCTGTCTTGGTCACTGATGTATCCCAAGCACACAGAAACACAGCCTGGCAAATAGTTGGTTCTAAATGAATTACTGAATGAATGGATCAGAGCCTAATGGTGAGGATCTAAATAAGTAGAACCCTGCCAAGGGCTACTTGGCAGAATTGCAAACACATGCTCTTTTGATCCTGAGATTCCACTTCTAGGAATTTCTCCTTCAGGAAAGCTCACACCTTTTTTTTTTTTTTTTGGTGGTAAGCGGGCCTCTCACTGTTGTGGCCTCTCCCGTTGCGGAGCACAGGCTCCGGACGTGCCATGGCTCACGGGCCCAGCTGCTCCGCGCCATGTGGGATCTTCCCAGACCGGGGCACGAACCCGTGTCCCCTGCATTGGCAGGCGGACTCTCAACCACTGCACTACCAGGGAAGCCCGAAAGCTCACACCTTTGCCCAAAGATAAACGTTTGAGGATGCTCACTGCAGCTTCTAGCCACAGACTGGACCGGCATAAACACCCTGGAGAATGCTAGAAACTCCCGTGTTCTTATCAAGGACCGCTGTGCATGCTGCCGAGGGAGGATGTGTGGGAATGTAAACGTCCAAGTAGTGTGGGGAAGAAGACACCCAGATATTAACAGCGGGTACCTGAGGGGGTGGGATTGCGAATGTGGGAGTGGAAGGAGAGCTGGAGAGCTGCACCTCCTACTTTTACCTCTTGCACTGCAGTAACTGTGTGAATTTCCCTCCAAGCATGTATTTCTTTAGTGATTTAATACAGATGAACAGAAGAAATGAAGATTAATTTCTGAAGCTAGAATTCAAGCCGAAGGGACAATTTGGGTTTCACTGAGCAAAAGTAAGTTTCCAGGTCTCCAATATTTAGGAAAGTAAGGACAGCCCTCCCCTAGCCCATCCCCTGCAGATTCCAGTCTCCCAAACTAACACAAAAGGCCCATCACTAGGCCATCTCCTGAGTCATTCTCAGATCCGCCCACTTCTCGGCCATAGCCACCACACTAGCCCAACCCATGACCAGCTCCCTGCTGGAGTTCCTGCTTCCACTCTGGGTCCTCCAATCTAGTCTCTACCCAGCAGCCCTGAGCCAGAATCTCAACATCAGTACCAAATCCACTCACACGTCCCGGTGAGAATTCCTCATTGGCTCCCTAGGGCTCTATCAAGCCTAGCCCCTCCATACCTACCTCTACTGGCTCAGAACATTCTTCCTTCAGACCTCTCTCTCCCTCTTTCTCCACCCCTCTGGCCTTCTTTCAGTTCCTCCCATCTCAGTACTTTTTAAAAATTCTTTTTAGAAAAATAACATCTTTATTCTGACATATAACTCACATGCCATACATAAAACCCACCAATTTAAAGTGTTCTGGTATATTCATAGAGCTGTGCATCTATACCATCACAATTTTAGAATATTTTCATTGCCCCAAGAAGAAAATCTACCTATTAGCTATCAACTCTCCATCCCCCAGTCCTAGGCAATCACTAATCCACTTTCTGTCTGCATGCATTTGACTGTTCTTGACATTTCATATAAATGGAATCATACAACATGTAGTCCTTTGTGACTGGCTTCTTTCCCTTAGCGTAGCGCTTTGGAGGTTCATCCATTTTGTAGCAGATAACAGTACTTCACTCCTTTCTATGGTTGTATAATATTTCATTGTAAGTAAATACCAGTTAGTTTATCCATTCACCAGTTGCTGAACATGTGGGTTGTTCCCACTTTTGGCTATTAGAAATAACGCTGCTATGAATATCTGTGTATGCCTTTTCACGTGGACATGTTTCCATTTCTCTGGTATATACCTAGCAGTGGAATTGCTGGGTCATATGGTAACTCTAGATTTAATCATCTGAGGAACTGCCAGGCTGTTTTCCAAATCAGCTGCACCATTTTTCATTCCCACCAGCTGTGTGAGGGTTCCTATCTTCCACATCCTCCCTGACACTTATTATCTCACTTTTTGATTATAGCCACCCTGGTGGTGTAATGCGGTAGCTCACTGTGGTTTTGATGTGCATTTCCCTGATGGCTGATGATGCTGAGCATCTTGTCATGTGCTTATTGGCCATTTATATATCTTCTTTGATGACCAGCACCATCTCTTCTCAGGGTTATTGCAACAGCCTCCTCCCCGGCCTCCCTGCTTCCGCCCTCATCCCCCTTCATTCTCTTCTCCATCCAGCAGTCAGAGTGAGACCCCAGCATTCCGCTGCTCAAAACCCTGCCATTGCTCCCTGTTCCCCCGGAGACAAGACCAGAGTCCTAGCCACGGCCTTCAAGGCCCTGAATGATACCGGCTCCCCAACTCCATCCACACATACATCTCTCTAACCTCAGCTCCCCACACCCTCCCCCTTGCCCACTCTGTTCCAACCAAACCAGCCTCCTTGCAGTTCCTTGCACGTGCTAGGCCTTTGTTCCAGCTGTTCCCACTGGCTGGAATGCTCTTCCCTGATAAGCACATAGCTCACTTCCTCCCTTCCTTCAAACTTGTGTTCACATGATACCTGCTTGGTAAGGCCTCCCTGGCCACCTGGCTTAAAATTCACAACCTGGCACACCCTGAGCCCCTCCCTTGCTCTACTTTTCTCTTTTTCCACAGCACTTGCTCCCTTCTAACATACCATGTATTTTATTTATTTATTACATTTCACTTCTGTGTCTGTCTTCTCTCACCACAGTAAGCCCCACAAGGGCAAAGATCTGTGTTTGCCTACGTATCCCAATCACCCAGAACAGTGCCTGGCACACAGTAGGTGCTCAATAAATACTTGCTGAACAAACACCTTGATCTGTCAGGCACTCTGCTAGAGTCTAAGAACAGGGTCCCTGTGCTCCTGGGGCTGTACTCATCGGGGGACAGAGACAAACACGTAAGCAAACAAATAATAAATTCTTATGGACCAGGAAGATCAAAGAGGGTGAAGTAAACAGAGCATGGGAGTGGAGGTGAGGAAGCTGCTCTGAGAGGTGACTTTTTTTTTTTCCAGCCGTGCTGCACAGGTTGTGGGATCTTAGTTCCCCGACCAGGGACTGACCTCAGTTCCTTGGCAGTGAGAGCGAGGAGTCCTAACCACTGGACTGCCAGGGAAGTCCCATGAGAGGTGACATTTTAAGGTGAGCCTAGGCCATGAGGAGGACAGAGGAGGAGGAAAGCTCTCCTGGCACAGGGGACTCCCGTGTAAACTTCTTCAGGTCAGGCAGAGATTGGCTTATAGCAGGGAGACAGACAGAAAGAGGCCAAGGGGGCCTCAGGGAGAGTGTACTTACGGATCTCATGGGAGTTTGGGATTTACTTGAAACGCAGTGTGTTGAGGGCTCTTGAAAAGTTCTTAGCAGGGGTGGGGCCTGTTGGGATTTCAGGGGTCAGTAAAGAGCAGCCTCCCTGAGGTCCAACCCCTGCCACTGCCTGTTTCTGTAAACAAAGGCTGATGGGAACACAGCCAGCCCCTACATCTGCACATGGGCTTGGCTACTCTGGGGCTATAGCAGCAGAACTGGGTACGCTGGGACAGAGACTGATGGCCCGCAAAATCAAAAACCTTTACTGAGGTTTGCTGACCCCAATTTTAAGATGCAGGCGATTCCTTCCTTCTCCCTCAGGTCCTGTCGACGTCACCGATCCCCATCACGTCTCCCATCCCCACTGCCACCATCCTGCTCGCCTCCCTCTCTATTAGCGCCCACGGCCCTGTCAAAGCCTCCAATGGCTCCCTAGGGCTTGAAGACAACACACCGCCCACCCGGCAGAGGCGAGAGACGTAACCGCTGCCCCCCCTTACCTCTCGGACTTAAGCACCTCCCTCCGACCTACCCTCACTGGCTTCCTGGTGGCGCCCCAAACACACCAAGCGCGATCCCCTCGCCTCGCCTTTGCATGGGCTGTTCCCTTTTCTGGAATGCTTTTCCCCTAGACCTTCCCGCATGGAGCCCAAGTGATCCTTCCTCAGGTCAAAGAGCAACCCCCACCCCTCCCTTTGTAGGCCCTTGGCCCTGATTGTTCCTCTACGTCTTTATCACTCGCTGACATCATAGGATATACTTACTTTACTGTCTGGCTTCCCCACGAAGACGTCAGCTCCCTGAGTGCACAGGGATTTTGTCCCTTTTATGCTCAGCCATATCCCCAGAGTATCCTGCCTACCACATGATAGGTGCTCAAAAATAAAAGCGTACTGAACGTCTGAGAGTGTCCCGAGGGGAATCATAACATCCACCTGACAGGGCTGTGGCAAGGATTCAATGAGATGAAGCATGCAAAGAAACTAGAACAGTGCCCTGCCCAGCGAGCACCGGATCGATCACCACCACTCTCGTGACCATCATCAGTTACGTCTGTTGAGTGGACTTCTGAGATACAGCTCAGTCTGACCACCACCTCCGCCATGTCCCAAGTGGGGGGGGGGGCCCTGGGCAAGTCACTTGACCCCTCTCTTCCGTCAGGGTTCTTGGGTGTTAACTGGGCCGGACTCCTCTGCACCCGGTGGGATAACACCCAAGGCGAGGCGCGTGGGATGCCCGCGTGCGGCCAATCTGCCACAAACTAGTCATGGCTACGGCGGTGGGCGTCTCTGCACGTTCCTGGCCCCTGTTCCAGAGGCTGGGGCCCCCTGAGGAGTCTTTTCGGGACCAGGGCAGAGAGGGCCTGACGGGGGCGCCGCGGCCGCACCGCACAGGAGCCGAGGAGGCGGGTCAGCTCCCGGGCCTCCCGCTCTCAGGGCGCCGACACTGGGCCGCCCGCGGCGCTCTGCGCCGGTTCACCAGACAGGGGAAGGGAGACCCGGCGAGGCCTGGCTGGCGGGAGACCGCTGTCAGTCACAGGCAGGGCCAGGCCCTCAACAAGGCCTGGGGGCTCTTCTTTCTCGGGCACAGTCCTCACAGGAGGAGACTGAAGCCTGGCTGGGGCCAGAGGTCACACACTGGACGGCCAGGCGTCTAAGCCTTCAGCGCCGGGTTGACACACCACGCAGGTCACAGGTCATTCTCAGCACAAAATGGCGCCTCGGAGAAAAACGTACAACGATTCCCAGCGCCCACCCTCACTCCCGGCTGAGGAAGGGGCGTGGGCATCCGCGCACACTCATTTGCATACACAAAAATCAACGAACTTCATTGGCTGCAAGCGCCTGGGTCCGCGCTAGGCAAGGCTCCCATTGGTCGCTCTCCATTTCCCTCGCCCCCCCAACCCCCGTACTGCCTTCTCCGTCAAGGATTGGCCCGCGCGCGTCTCGTGACGCCACTCCACGACTGCGCGCCCCTATTGGCCGGCGCGCCTTCTATCGTCCTTTTAAACCGCCAGAGTCCCACCTCCCTTCGCCCTGCCCAGGCTCCACGGCCGACCGTTAGTCGCGTGAGTGATCTCCTGGGCGTCGGGGCACGCGCGTGCGCCAGCGTCTCATTCAAATGGGCCAATCAGCGGTTGCGTCGCCCTTCACGTCCTCTCCCGCTCTACTTCCCTTTCTCCGCCACTCCATCCTCCCGGATCCCTCCCCGACCACCGCGTACCCCCATTGGCCGGCCCGCCGAGCGCCCCCTCCCCAACTTCGGCCTGCAGCTTGCTGGAAGGGAGCGAGCTCGTCGAACGCCGAGGGCCGTGCGCGCTGACGTCACGGGTCGAGGCACGGCGAGAGGGGCCCGCGAGGGGGCGCGGCCTGTGGGCGGATATAAAAGGGCGGCGGTGCGCGCGCGACAGGCTTAGTGCGGCCGGGCACTGGGGGCGGGTGGAGGTGCGGTGCGGTTCGCGGCGGGCGTCGGAGGCAGCGGGGAGCAGAGCGGGGCCGCCGGGGCCTCGCTAGGGCCGCAGCGGCAGCAGTTGGGCCCCCCGCCCCGGCCGGCGGCCGGAGAGCGCAGGAAGGGGGCCGGGGGGACCCGCCCCCGGCCGGCAGCAGTCATGGTGAGCTAGGCGTCCAGGCCTGGGAGGGGTGGTTGGGCCCCCCCCAGAGGAGGAGGTGGGGTCTCAGGAGCCTCTCGCGGGCGGCTTGGGGGATTGGAGGGCCCACCTGGGTATCCCGGGCCTGAGATGGGCCCAGGGGCCTTCCTGTAGGCGGGGCGGGGCGGGAGGGGAGGGCCCGGCCGAGCTCCGGGCTTTTTGGCCCGCCCGTGGGTGTTTCGGGAACAACGACGCTCCGCCGCCGTATCCAGGCTCGAGTTGGGGTTTCCAGGGTGGTCTTAACCAAGATTAGGTGGGGAAGGGGGACCGGCATAGGCCTCGGGCCTGCCCGGAATCATTCGGGGACCTTGCGGAGCTACGAGCGGGCTTTGGGGTCTTCTGGGGAAGGTGGAGTCATCCGCAAGCCCTCGGCAATCCGCCCTATTTCTAGTGGGAGATCAGCTTGGGGCGGTCGCCTGAAGCATCCTGGGTTGGGGGTTCTGGGAGCTCGGGGTGATTGACAGCCTGGGACTGCAGGAGTAAGACTAGGGTGCCACTGCATCCTAGATCCTGCAGGAGGCACCAGGCCCTGGCTCTGCCCGTGGCTCACCCCCTTGTCTCCATACCTAGAACTCCAACGTGGAGAACCTGCCCCCCCATATCATCCGCCTGGTGTACAAGGAGGTGACGACACTGACAGCTGACCCACCTGATGGTATCAAGGTCTTTCCCAATGAGGAGGACCTCACTGACCTGCAGGTCACCATCGAGGGCCCTGGTGAGTGTGGGAATGAGAGGGAGGGGTGCACTTCCTAGATCTCCGTCAATCTTAGAGCAAGGATAGGAGGCTCCCACTGTAAGGTGGACTGCCAGACCCTGAGGACGCAAGGGTAGACATGACAGGCACACCTGTTACACATGGTGCTCACAGTATGCAGGGCAGGACACTAGAAATGACAAGTAATTGTATATACTTTCCCCGTAAGTGTTGTGAGAAAAATTCTGGGGGCCAGGAGAGCATATAATGGGGCCTTACCTGGGTTTGGGTGTTTCCTCCATCCTGAAGTATGGGTAGGAATTAAGTGGGATTGGGAAGAGGATGCCAGGTGGGGAGAAGTGTCAGCAAAGGCCTGGAGGGGAGGCTGGATCATCTCAAACTCCTTCCTGCCGCCAGTGTTAGGCTCTCTGGGGACCAAGCAGAGAACAAATGCAGGCTTTCAGGGAGATAACAGTAATAACCAAATAACTACAGGGGACCGTTTGATCTTGCATAGTGGCTTAGCAGGTTGTTTCACGTGCACTACATTTAAGTTATTAGTTGAATTTTTATAAGTGAAGAGTGTGATGAAGGACCTAGTCTGGAGTTGAACTTGTGGGGAGGGGGTCAGGGAAGACTTCCTGAGGAACAGAAGAAAAAAGACTTGTGAAGCTTATAGGGAACAGATCTTTTAGGGCTTGTAGACCTCTTTTAAAGGAGTTTGGAAAGGAAGCCTTTGGAAGGTTTAAAGCCGGGCCAGTGGGTCGCTTCAGACTTCACTTTGACTTCAGTGAGGGTGGGGATACAATCTGGAGGCCGGTCAGGAAGCCGCTGACCATGGGCATCCATCAGGTGAGAGAAGTGGTTCCGCTGGACTTGGAGGTGGGCTCAGATTCAGGAGTGGACCTGGAGGTCAGCTGCCCAGGCTATGATGGGTGGGACGTGGGGGCTGGGGCATGAGGAACAGCCATGAGTCTGGAACAACTCCCAGTGTTTGCTGCGGCAGGGAAGACCACGGAGTGGACAGAACTGTCCTGACATTTGCCTGAGAAGCTTCCAAATAGATGTTTTTCCTAGGAGCTGAGTGGGCACGTGTGTCTGTGCCTCTTGGGAAGGGTGTGCTGTGCCTTCACTTGGGAGTGAAGAGGGATCCGTGGGTGGGGACCACCAGTCAGGGGGTTTACTCTGAGCTGGGGGTGGTGCCTGTGGCCCCCTGGGAACCTGGGCCTGTCTTCCTCTCGAGAACCCCCCGTCTGGTGGAGGAGGCGGTGGGGCACTTGCCTCGCAGCCAGACCGTGGAGACTGGTTTTGGGGGTGCCTGGAAGGCCTGCGCCTCCTGACACTGTCCCCCTCCCTGCATTCCAGAGGGGACCCCATACGCCGGAGGCCTCTTCCGCATGAAACTCCTGCTGGGGAAGGACTTTCCTGCCTCCCCGCCCAAGGGCTACTTCCTGACCAAGATCTTCCACCCAAATGTGGGCGCCAATGGTGAGATCTGCGTCAACGTGCTCAAGAGGGACTGGACAGCTGAGCTGGGCATCCGGCACGTGCTGCTGGTGAGTTCTGCCTGGGCCTGGGCCTCCCTCCTGGACGCATCCCAGTGATGTCCAAGCCACGGAGCCTTGTTTCTCTTCTAAAGTCAACACTGAACTGGTTGGGGCTTCTACATAAGAATCCAGATTTCCAGCTTTTCTGGAAGGGTTGGCAGTGCCCAGCTACCTTTGCTGTGGAACAAGTGATGGTTTGTGTAGCAGGACGGTGTTCTGACAGGTACAAGTCAAGCGTCTGGTTAGGGCGAAGATAGACTGTCCAGTATCCTACAGCGTACAGTTCATTGGTGTTTTTTAGTAGTCACAGCTTGTACAACCATCACCATTGTCATTCCATCGTTCCTCAACCAGGGGTGGTTTTGTTCCATTGGGGACATTTTTTTTTTTTTTTCCATTGGGGACATTTTTAATTGTCACACCTGGGGGTGCTACCAGCACCTACTGGGTGGAGACAGGGAAGCTGCTGCACATCGTGCAGCAGGGACCACCCCGCGGAGAACCATCCAGGCCCACCTCAGCCAAGCTAAGGTGGAGACAGCCAGACTACTCTGGTGCTCCAGGGTCCCCATAGGCCACTTAAAGCATGTAGGTCACCTGATGCCTCTCCACCCCTCCCACAAGGTGAAATTTAAAAAAACAAACACTGAATTTCTAATGAGCCCCTGGGGCAGTTGGTAGGGAGGACTGGGAATTGGGGTTTCCTGCAGGGCCCGGGGGGAGGATTGAGCACCAAGGTAAACAGACCCCAAACCTTTTCCTCCTCTCCCTGGAGTGTCAGTGGTGGCTGCCAGCAACATCAGAGATGAGCTCACAGAATAACTCCCAAGTGTCCCCAACAATCCCTAGGGCCTGCAGTGCGGGGCCCAGGCCAGGCTCAGCCATGGGAGGGCAGCTGTGGGAAAGGCGGGCAGTCAGGCCTCTGGTTGTGGGGTGCAGTTGTCAGAATTAGGGTGTGATGCTGGTCCCTCATGATTATCAGTGATGTGTGTTGGGCCAGGTGCTTTGGGGAGTACTTGTTACTGCCCCCATTTACACGTGAGAGCATTTCACCTGCTCAAGGCCAGACAAGTTCTGGGTTCCTGGGGTGCTCTGCGTTCCCTTTTAGAATCAAAGTGGAGGTAAAACAAACACGGCTTAGGGGCCACAGCTGTCTGGGTAGACTCCTCTTAGAATGGTCCATTGGGGGCTGGCTGGTCACACCTTTCGGCCTCGATTTACTCTGCAGTTAAAATGGGCAGATTAAGGAATATTGAAGACTCACTTCCTTCCTGGACCACTCTCGACTGTCCTCGGGCATCAGTCTCTGTTTATGCCCTGGTGCCTTTCTCTTGGGTATTAACAGCTTGCCCAGCCAGGATTTGTGCCTCTGCCCTTGAGATTCCTGTTAAAGCCAGCGATAGCTGTAGCTTTAAGCATCTTCCTGTAGTGTAATGTAGAGCTAGTTGTCTAGTTGCTAGTTTCTAAGTTGTCCCCCTCGCTTCCTTTTTTTTTTTTTTTTTTTTTTTTGGCTGCATTGCGTCTTCGTTGCTGTGCACGGGCTTTTGTCTAGTTGCAGCCAGCAGGTGCTACTCTTCGTTGTGGTGCGCAGGCTTCTCATTGCAGTGGCTTCTCTTGTTGCAGAGCACGGGCTCTACAGCGCAGGCTCAGTAGTTGTGGCGCACGGGCTTAGTTGCTCCACGGCATATGGGATCTTCCCGGACCAGGGCTCGAACCCATGTCCCCTGCATTGGCAGGTGGATTCTTAATGACTGTGCCACCAGGGAAGTCCCCCCTCACTTCCTGAATGACCTGGGGCGAGTCACTGATCACGGTGCCTGCACACATGTGCCATCTGGGGGAGCGGTGTTGGGAGTTGAGGCCACAAGGCCGGACGTGTGAGGCTTGGGGGACCGGCCCCCCCTGACCCTGGCGCTCTCCCCACAGACCATCAAGTGCCTGCTGATCCACCCTAACCCCGAGTCTGCCCTCAACGAGGAGGCGGGCCGCCTGCTCTTGGAGAACTACGAGGAGTATGCCGCCCGCGCACGCCTGCTCACAGAGATCCACGGGGGCGCAGGTGGGCCCAGCAGCGGCAGGGCCGAGGCCAGCCGGTCCCTGGCCAGCGGGGCTGTGGCCTCCACCGCTGACCCCATGGCCCCTGGGGGCCCAGGAGGGGTCGAGGGGCCCATGGCCAAGAAGCACGCGGGTGAGCGTGATAAGAAGCTGGCAGCCAAGAAAAAGACGGACAAGAAGCGGGCGCTGCGGCGGCTGTAGTGGGCTCTCCTCCCTCCCTCTCCCACCCGCCACCCACCTGCCCCCAACTCTGTCTCTAAGTTATTTAAGTTATGGCTGGGGTGGGGGAGGGCACGGGGGCACTCGGACCTGGATTTGTTTTTCTAAATAAAGTTGGAAAAGCAGCTGTTGTTGCCTCCACCACCCTGGCTTTGAGCAGTGGGCGCCCCAGCCCGAGTCTTCACGTGGGCTGAGCACAGGTCTCTCAGCTCAGCGGGCCTCCTGTTGGAGTCAGAGACGCCCTCTGTCTGAGGGGTGCAGTGCCAGGCACGGGCCTGCTGCTGATCTCTCCTGCCCTTGTTCTCCTGAAATGGGCATAGAGGCTGGGCAGTGGGTGTGGGAGCTCCGTCTGTCTGCCGTGCGCTGGGGCACTTGATCCCGCTCTAGCCAACAGAACATGTTCCTGTGGATTTCTGTATCATATATCACAAATCCCAGGCCTGAGGAGACACCTGTCTTACAATTTGTGTTGGTTGGAAGTTGGTGTGACGGGCTGGTCGCTGCTCAGGTTTCAGAAGTGAAGTTGAGGATCCACTGGGCACGTTCCTTTCTCGGGTCCTCTTCAAACTCAAAGCTGGCGGGATTCAGTTTCTTGGAGTCATAGGGCCTGGGGCTATCCCCAGCTCCTAGAAGCTGCCAGGGTTCTCACCCCACAGCCCCCTTTTGTGGGACCCAGTTGCTTAGATGAAGCTGATGAGCCCCGGGTGATAACTTGACTGCAGGAACATGTCCCAGCGTGGTCACAGGTTCTGCCCTCACTCCAGGGGTGGGGGCGGGAGACCCGGCGGCGCAGGTCAGCTTCCTGCATGCACCCCTGCGGCATGGCCCTTCTCCCTGCCCTGTTCCTTCATCTGCAGGAGGGCAGACCTGCTGGTCGTCGTACCTCTTGGACTGTTATGGAGAGTCAGGTAAGGGCCGCAGACCCGGACAAGTGTCGGGGTTCTCGGCTGGTGGGAGAGTAGGGAGTGGTCGGCCTTGGCAGAAACCAGCAAAGGCACAGATGGGGAGGCCAAAGATTTTGTCGCCCTCTGTCAGGCTCTGTGCCGGGCCTTAGGACACAGTGTCAAAAATGATTATAAAATACAGAGAAAGGAAAGCCTGGTATGCCAGTTTTCACAGTTGCTTCCTTTGTAATCAGCAAAGCCTGGAAATATAACCCACATGTTCACCAATGGATGAATGAGTAAAGGAATTGTGAATTCACACAGTGGAATACTACTTAGCTAAACACTGATACACAAAATAACATGCTGAGTGAAGCCATATACGCAAGAGTACAAAATACTTGATTCCATTTCTATGAAATTCTAGAACAGGCAAAGTTAGTCACTAAGGGCCAAAAGCAGATCACTGGCTGTCTGAGATAAGTAGGATAAAGTGTACAGGGGTGTGGGAAGGCTTTGGGTGTGATGAGTACATTCCAAATCCCAATTATGGTGGGGGTCACATGGGTGCATAATTATGTCAAAACTTATAAAGTATATACTTAAAATAGGTGTATTTTACTTTGTGTAAAGTATATCTAAGAGAAGTTGATTTAACTTTTTAAATCAAGGACTTCTGTTTATCTAAAGGAGAATGAAAGACAAGTCAGTGGGACAAGTCAGTGGGGTTGTATGCAATCGAAATGGACAAATCCAAACATGTATAAAGAGCTCCTACAAATCAGTAAGAAACAACACAAAAGTTGGCAAAAGCATTTGCACGAATGCTTCACAAAAGGGGAAATCCCAACGACTACCAAGCACATGCAAAGATTCCCGTCATCACTAGTGATGGGGAAAGTGCAGTGTAAACCCAAGTTGAGACCACTATGCTCCCATGAAACTTGCCACAATGATAAGATCTGACAACGCCACATGCAGAGCCACGGATACTCTCCTGGTCCACAGGGCGACCCTGGCAGGAGCGTGAAATGGTAAAAGTCACGTGGGGACGCAGTAGTATCTCATTACTCAGCCTTCTTGCACATGTACCTTAGGCTGCAAAACCACATTTGTCCTAATTGCAAGCAGTATAAACATGCTTGTATATTCAAGGAGCAATACTATACAACACAAAAGTAGTGGACCATCACTACTTCCAGCAGCGTGGAAAACAACATCAGCCTAACAAGCAAGTCACAGGAGACCCATAGTCTGAATGCCTTCGCACACAATTCCAAAACCGTCAAAACCAAGCTGTGCTGCTAAACACACATACCTTGGCGGTAAAGCTGTAAAAGCAAGAAGATTGTTTCCCTACAGCTCAGGATACTGGTTACCTCAAGCCAGTAGGGAGCCCATGAGGGAAGTGTATAAATGTGTTTTGTATGCTTTTCTCTGTGTCTGCTATATTTCAGAATTTTAACAACATGAAGAAGCTCATTGAGATATGGACCAATCTCCAAAATATGTGAGAAAGAGCAACATGCAAATGCTGTACAAGATACGCTACCATTTCTGTTCTTTTTTGTTTGTTTTAATTTTGTTTTAAATAGGATGTGGGACTTCCCTGGTGGCGCAGTGGTTAAGAATCTGCCTGCCAATGCAGAGGACACGTGTTCGAGCCCTGGTCCGGGAAGGTCCCACATGCCACGGAGCAACTAAGCCTGTGCGCCACAACTACTGAGCCTGCGCTCTAGAGCCTGCAAGCCACAACTACTGAGCCCACATGCCACAACTACTGAAGCCCTCCCGCCTAGAGTCTGTGCTCCACAACAAGAGAAGCCACCATAATGAGAAGCCTGTGCACCGCAACGAAGCCCCAACGCAGACAAAAATAAATAAGTAAATAGGATGTGTATTTGCTTGCATATTCATCGAATGCCTCCAGAAGGTTACATTAGCACCTGCAAATACTGTCCCAAGAAAGGAGAGCTTGGAATACCATGTGCATGTTACCCATTCAAAAACAGACTTAAGAAAAAAAAAGGCAAGCAAAGACTTGACTTGTTTTAATTTTAAAGTTAACAAGAGCTTCTTCAGTGAAACGGCTCCCTCTCATTCCCATCTCCCCACACCCAATTCCCTTAATCAGGGACAACCAGTGTCAGCAGGTTCATGTGTATTTTTCTGGGGAAATTCTATGCAAACGTAAGCAAATTTAAACATATTTTCTTTTTCTTTTTTGGCCACACCATGCTGCTTGTGGGATCTTAGTTCCACAACCAGTGATTGAACCCGCTCCCTCGGCAGTGAAAGCGTGGAGTCCTAACTGCTGGACCGGCAGGGAATTCCCATAAACCATATTCTTTTACGTCCAGCGTTTCATCTGTGTATAACACAGCACGTCGCACCTGAGTTTTTTGACTTAGCACATCTTGGCCATCTGTCCTGCAGCACTCACAGCCCTTCCCTGCCCTCAGCTGTGCCCTAATGTATGTCACACTGAGCTGGAAGGAATGACCTTTGTGCATGGATCCCACGGCACACAAGGAACAGAGTCAACCTTTTCAAGTGACATCCCCGTGCCAGAGGGCACATTCATTTGTAATTCTGTACAGACATGGCCAAACTGTTCCCCGTGGGTTTGTACCAATTGACGCTGTCAGTGACGTAAGTGTGCCCATCCCCCCCCACAATGGCCTTAATAAGTGCACTTTGATTTTTACCCAACTTCTGGGTGTTTCTCAACCTGAGAGGTGAACACTATCTTAGTCTATCTTTAAAAGACTTTTTTTACAACAGTTCTGGGGTTACACAGAAATCGTGAAGACAATAGTGTCCCCCCCCCCCCACCCTTGGGTGCATCTCCTCCATAAATGCTACACTAAGCGAAGGTACTGAAACAAACGTGCTGGTTTTGCTGTGAGAACCTGGCCAAGGGCCACGGGGGTGACATACAGTCAGGGTGAACTCAGCAGGCCTGGGGTGCTCAAGGCCCACAGGTGGATGATTGTGAACAGTTTTCAAGATGAAACACAAGGGACTTCCCTGGCGGTCCAGTGGTGAGGACTCTGCACTTCCACCGCAGGGGGCACGCGTTCAATATCTGGGCAGGGAACTAAGATCCCACATGCCAGGCGGCATCGTCGGATCCGGGGCTGGGATCCTGGGCTCCTTGCATGTCTCCAAACCACGTGCTCATGTCATTTTCATAATTAAAGACTTTAAAGAATAGATTTTATTACAGCAAATGACTACAAGAGAAACAAAGAGATTTTTAAAATTCCTGGACTGGGAAGAAACAGCCTGGAGGGAATGCAGCAGAGGACACAGCGGTGTATTCACAGAACTCATGTAGACTGGGAGACACGGGCACTAGCGTGTGTGGATTTGTCCTCAAAGTGCTCGGAAAAACACGAGCATTGTTTTGTGTGCAAATAGTTATAGACATGGGAAGACATTTGTGATTGTTTTGAGTCCATCTGCTCAAGATAATTTATAATAAACTGTTCATTCATGCAAGGAAGATTTGTGGGCTTGTCCCGGCCGGCCATGTTACAAGCTTTCTGCACATTTAACCACTAGGACCTTAGGAAGTAAGGTCTATTCATATGCACGTGTCACAGACACAGAGGTTGAGAAGTGATGGAGCCCTGATGTATCTGAGGTATCCGTGAAGATGGAACTATAATCAAGGCCAGTCCTTCCCACGAACAGAGCACGTCTCAGCCCTGAGTTTCCACTGCTCGGAGTGACCTTGTGCGGGGTAGCTGCCAAGGGTGCGCCCTACACTCTCTGCAGACATTCCCCGGATTAGTACTGGAGACAACAGCAGCAAACTAAACCAAGATCTCTGCATCGCGGAGCCCTGAGGAATCAGACGCTTGAAACAACCTTATTGTTTCATCTGTAGGGAAACTGAGGTGCAGAGATAGTGACTCACGCAAGCGTAGGAACTGGCAGATGTGGAACTGGAGGGGGATGCTGTGGGTGGTGGGGGACGGGAAGGGTGCGGGCATCTCTGGGCACTTGCCTGTAATCTCACTGCCTCCTGGCCCCACTGTTCCTGTCGAGAAGCCAGCAGTTAGTCTTACTGCAGTTCCCTTGCACGTGAGGTGCTCTTCTCACGCTTTCCAGATTCAGCGTTTTTACTATGATGTGTCTGGGTATTTATGATTTTTTAAATCTTGTATTCTTTATTTGCTTTTCCAATTTCCACGCCAACATACATCACTTGCGAGAAAACAAAGTGTGCATAGATG